ATCTCGAAATATAATTGGCTAGTGCCATAAAAAGTCACATGACCGGAAAATTTTTTGTGGGTGAGCTACTAACGTCTACAAAAGGTAATTGTTGTGGTGTTACCGTACCCCCCCCCTCCCCAGTGATAGTTCCCTTTCACTGATAAGAAGTTTGCGACCTAATTTTAATAAAGAATAAAATTTTTTTTTTTTGTAATTCATTTTTCCTCAGTCAACTTGAGGAAATCTCGACTGGCGATCTTCTCATCACAAAGGATTTTGAAATCAGCTTCGTCGAGTTGCAAGTCTTTTTTCCCATGTAAAAATTCGATAAAATTTTCTGTGTCCAAGTTTCTAACCGCTTCAGCTAAAGTGGTTTCTTCGGTCGCATTGTGAGCTGGAGTGGAAGTGGTCGACATTTTTGAACTATATATGATTTTTTTGGTGGGATGTTATTGGTGGATTGGGATGGGAACACAAGGAAAAAAAGCAAAAAGGGTATATGTGAGAAATGTATCATATCACTTTTTGGTAAAAATTTTTCTGAGACAGATTTGTCTTGCAGTTATGTGATTTTATTTTTTCTTGGGAGCAAGCACAAGGTGCTAAATTTTATGTGTCAGAGACCCTAGCTCCGCTATTACTTTTTCAAACGAAATTCTGTGTAGCAGGATGAAATCTAACGCCCCTCTTCATTTATAGGTTCTATATGAGGTGGTTGACTATCTACAACATCGGGCATACTAAGATCACTTTCACTCCGTGATGTAGATGTATTAAGTTTTAAGACCATATTTGCTAACTCAGATGAAGATGAGTATGTCACATCTAAATTTCCACCTACAACATTTGCGTTACAACCTGAATCCCCACTCACATTATCTGCATTACGACCTGAACCTCCACTCATAGCATTTACATTATTTTCATTGTTTCCATTATCTCGATTATTACCAGTGGTGACTGTTTCACTGGTATCCTCATTCCTTTCACTAGTAGCTCTTCGAATGGGTGATGCAGATCGATCCCTTTGACTAGTGGAGAATTCACGGCAATTTATACTTGGAATTGATGGCATTTCGTAAATTGGTGGTGGGGTACGGTTATGGTGTCGTCTTCTGGTAGATGTGTTTGTATTATGCAATATGTCGAATGGAGTTTCTATATTTCTATATACGAGGCAAATTCATGAATTATCTATATATTAACTACTACAGTGATAGATTATATCATAGGTGAACTTACCGGGTCTCTCCCAAAAATGAGAATTAAATTCTTCAAAATATCGTTCACCTGCTCTGCTCCTCTTTCTGGTTTTGCTCCCAGCTATATATAAACACATTGACTAAAAAAGTTTCAGCGAGGCAACACAGCCAATATAAAAGTATATTTGAAATACTATCATATGGAATGTCATAGTTAAAATAGTATATAGAGTTTAATGCCTACGTTGTAATCTCTAACAAGATTCTGAAATCTATTATTACATTGGTGTCCTGTATAGGTGGTTCCAAATCGTTCGTTGATTGTGTTTGCTATACTATTCCAAAAGTCTACCTACTACTACCGGAAATGTTATAATAATCTGCATTTCAATTTTTTCTTTCATCGATCAATAAGCGTAATTGATCATCGGTCCACATCACAAAAATTTAATTTCAACAGATACCCAACTGAGATACACTCACGATATAATATTTCCATATGTTTTTATAAGAAAAAAAAATCATCATATCTTCAACGCACCTTCATCATACCTTCATTGCACCTATTGCATCTTAATTATGAGTTAATATAATAACAACATAGTCTATAAGTATGGATCTAGATATAGGGTATTTACGCACATCTCGGATTTGCTTATCTCGGATCGGGTGATCTCAAATGAAAATAATGATTATTAACCCGATTTAACATTATGTCCGAAATGTGTATTCTTTATCGTAGAGAATAAATCATGTGATAAAAAGCATTACACTTCTGCACTTTGTGATAATGTATAAGTAACAGTTATTCTAAATTTGTAGATCCGGCTTAAATATAGCAATAGCGTGCCTAAATACGTCTTTCAACAAGTTATTAATAATCTAATCCAAATATAGAAATGTGCGATTGTTGATTTGCCGTGTCCAATAATTGTGGTGCTGATTTTAGTAACCGATTTAATTATTATCGTGCTACGTAAAAATATTAGTTGACTTAAATTATTGCAATGCTGAGTCATTTATATTACATACTGCTTCGTGGCAAATTGCTATGTATTGAAATGCATAAAAATAAATTGCAATCTCTAATAAATAGAGCCAATAAATAGGGCCTCCTTTAATATGAAGTTCCATTCCAATTTTGCTTTTTTTTTCTTAAAACATTTAAAAAATTTCTTTATAAAAATTACTTACCTGCTGTATAAGCACTATATCGTCCCAAAATAAATCTGTCGCATTATTATCGAAGGCCTCTAAAAGAAATCTACGTAAAAAAGACCTTCGTGCCATAAAAAAAGCCAAATTTGAAAACCTTGATATTTCTGTCGTTGAAAATAATACTAATTCCACATCCAATATTAACCTGGCCGATGAAAGAGATGATATTTTCTACGATCCTCTAAAAGTAAGTTAATTAATTTTGATACAAGTAAACCCTATTATTTATAGTATAGTCTTCTTAGGGGTACTTTTCACCTTTCGAGGCAGGCCTAGGATCTGAGTATTCCCTCCCTAGTTCTATTGTTATTGAGGGCGCGATCGTTGAATCACAATTGTCTTATTAGCGAGGAGAGGAAGACCGAATGAGCTTCCCGTTTAATGCTGAGCTATGAGATGAAAAATGGATCAAATGTATCCACCTCAAAATTTTATTATCCAACTTCATAAGAAGTTATACAGAATACCATTTATTAATTTTTTGAATATATATTCACTAGCACAAAACTCAATCAGAGACCCATTGTTCTACAAAAAGTGAAACTCGTGAATATATTCGAACTCAATGGATATCAGAAGACTTTCTTCCTGAAGATCTTAAATCGACCAAAGTTTCACAACCTTATACATTGTCCGATCCAGAATTTACTTTTATCGAAAAGTTCTTAGAAAAAGAGAACAGTGAAGACTATTGCAAAATGATTTATTAGTAATGGACGCAATGGGTCCAAATACCAATATAACTAACTCTTTGCCCCCCAAACAATTCAACCAATACCTACTAATGATTTTGAAATACCAACTCAATACATGGCTTTACTAGAGTCTGAAATCTTTAGTAATAACGGTTCTTTAAATTCATCATCAGCAGTTTGGAAAGAGTTTGGGTTGTGGGCATGATTTCAGATTTTAATAAATGCTTTCATCATCACTGTTGTCGTCTTTGGTCAAAAGTAAACCATGCACATCGAGAAGCCCAGAAAAAAATGCAGAAAGTGTACAATATCTCAGAAGCATTTTGGCGACCCTCAAATTATAAACTTGATGTAGCAGAAAAAACTACGAGGGATGTGGCTACAGGTGAGGAATTCGAGGGCTACTACCATGTTTTTAATCCACAGTGTTTTAGGAATTCTTTCGACAAGGTAGTAGTGGACTTTTTCGATCTAGTTAAACCTACAGGTGAAGAAGATACAATAGCGGTTGTAGATAAATATTATAGCCATAACCTTAATAAAAATAATAAATTGCATAAATCTAAAGAATTTAAGAAGGGATTGGTGGAGCATTTTGGAGCCTTCACAGGCAATAACAATAAGCCCTATACAACCGCAAACACAGCATCAAACCATTGCTCAGAACATCGGAAATGTGTTCGAGAGCTGATTAGTGGGCTTCAACCACTATCTAATGCGGTTAATAGTTATTTACAGAAAACTTATCCGGCTCTTTATACAAAAATAGCAAAGCTCGATCTTGGCCCAAATGTTCCTAAGTCTTTCGGCACTTTTCCAACAATCGCGATCAACTTCAATGTTATTAGTTAATTTCATCGCAATTTAAAAGACCACCGAAATACGCTTTGTGTGGTGTGCCCACTTGGAATATTCAAAGGTGGGCAATTGATGTTTCCTGAGTTAAAGTTAATAATACATGCAAGAGAGGGTCAGGCTATCACTTTTAGATCGAACATTTTAGTCCACGGTAATCTTCCTGTTATTGCAGGCATCCGTCATAGTATTGTTTTTTTTATTTATACAACGTCAATCAAACAAAATAGAAAATTCAGAACTTTATTTTGCAATACAGATCCGGATAATTCAGATAGCGAAATTAACGTTCACATGAATAATAATAAACTCGGGGCATCAAAAAAACGCACTAAGCAGAATAAAAAACGATCCAAAACCTCAAAG